AGGGCATGTACCATGGTTGCGGGCACATCCCCAGTAGGGGGTGTGCAGGAGGCAGCTGATCAATGTTTCTAACTCTCTATCCTTCTCCCTTCCTCTCTGTAAAAAATCAATAAAATATATTTAAAAAAAAAAAAAGAAGAAGAACAGGCTACATGTAGAGAGGCAAGTGCAGAAGCAAAAAAAACTGAGAGGCCATTACATACAGCAAAAGATTAGAATCAGGGTGGTAACAGTGAGAAGTGGTCTGGATCTGGATGCATATGCTGACTGGATGAGGGATATGAGAACAAGAAAGGAGTTAAGGATGACTCCAAGTTATTAGCCCAAACAAACAGAAGAACAGATGTTATTATCTGGGATGGGAAGAAGACTGTGGGAGGAGCAGATTTGAGGGAGAAGATCTGGATATAGATTTTGGACATGATGAGTTCAAGATTTATACTGGACATCAAAGGGAAAATGTTGAGTAGGAAGTTTATTACCTAAGACTGAAATTCAGGGAAGAGGTTCTGGTTAGAGATATACATTTGGGAATTGTCATAACATAGATCAGGCCCATTTCATAAAACTTCTATGATGATGGATATGTTCTATATGTGCACTGCCCATATGGTAACCACCAGCCACATGAGACTGGAAATGCGGCTAGGGTGACAGAGAAACTGAATTGTTAATTGTAGTTAATTTACATTTTAAAAAGCACATGTGGCTCATGGCTACATATTTAACAAAGCATAGTATTTAAAGCAATGTGATTGGATGAGAACACTAAATGAGTGAGGTTTGGCAGAGAAGATGTCCAAAGATTGGGCACTGGGGCACACCAACGACATGGGTTATTTGTGATAGGAAGAAAAAAAATGAACCAACCCCAATTTCTAGCAACAACAGAATAGAAAAACAATTAGTGGCATATTCAAGTAAGACTGTCAATCAGCAGTAAATGCATACATCTATGTGAACAAATCTCAAAAACAATGTTAAGTGAAAAAAGTAATTTAAAGAAGAAAATTATAAATGTCAAAAGCGGACAAAACTAAGCAATATACTGTTTAAGAATATATTCAGTGCTCACTTCGGCAGCACATATACTAAAATTGGAACGATACAGAGAAGATTAGCATGGCCCCTGCGCAAGGATGACACGCAAATTCGTGAAGCGTTACATAAAAAAAAAAAAAGAATATATTCAGATTGATAAAGCTATAAATAAAATCAAGGAACTTATTATCCAAATGTAGAATATCACCTCTCCAGAGAAGGTTGCAATTGGGAGGCGAGTACGGAAGGCTTCAAAGTTACTGGCAATATTCTATTTCCTAACTAGATGGTGGGAACACAGGTGTTCATTTTGTTATTCTCCTTTGTTCTATATACTCTGGCATGTATAATATTAAATCATATATATATATATATATATATATATATATATATATATATGGCAGTACATGGTTAAATTTCAAATGGAAATTTCAAAATTTCTTTAAATCATTAAGTTCAGAAAAAAGGAAAGATAACTCTGGGTTGTATAAGGTCTATAAAGGACAGATTTAGTCATATAAAGAAAAGAGGGAAGGGCATTCTAGAATTGGGAATAAACAGGTCATGTATAAGAGACAATAAATTAGTGAGTCTACTGGAGAAGAAGAAAGTTAGGTTGAAAAGTTAGGCTAGGGCTAGTTCCTGAGATGCTTAAATACTGGGTCAAGGAGTTTGGACTTGATGTAGAAATAGTGTAGAACCATTGATGGTATCTAAGTAAGACAATGGCATAGAGAAAGTGGTATATCAGTCGAATTAATCTGATGATTAGGATTAAATAGTAGGAAGACAGAAGGCTGGAAAAATCAGTTATTAAACTTGTAGATGTGAGATGTCAGAGAAAATGCTGGTGATCTGAACGTTGATAGTGATGGAAGATCCAAGTTTACCCCGAGAAACTACGATGAAAGACTGAAGAGAGTTTGGTCTTGAAAATATGCGGAGGGAAAAAGAGAGATTCAAAAATTACACCAGCCGAAACCAGTTTGGCTCAGTGGATAGAGCGGCGGCCTGCGGACTGAAGGGTCCCAGGTTCGATTCCGGTCAAGGGCATGTACCTGGCTTGCGGGCACATCCCCAGTGGGAGATGTGCAGGAGGCGGCGGATCAATGTTTCTCTCTCATCAATGTTTCTAGCTCTCTCTCTCCCTTCCTCTCTGTAAAAAATCAATAAAATATATTTTAAAAAAAATTAGCCCTAACCGGTTTGGCTCAGTGGATAGAGCGTCGGCCTGCGGACTCAAGGGTCCCGGGTTCGATTCCGGTCAAGGGCATGTACCTTGGTTGCGGGCACATCCCCAGCAGGGAGTGTGCAGGAGGCAGCTGATCGATGTTTCTCTCTCATCGATGTTTCTAACTCTCTATCCCTCTCCCTTCCTCTCTGTAAAAAAAAAAAAAAAATCAATAAAATATATTTTAAAAAAAAATTACACCAATTTTCAAGCTAAAACTACAAAAATGATAACATCAACATATGCAAAATTAGGGAAATCAATAGGAAGCTGGTTTTGAAGGAGGACCATTCATTCAATAAAGACATCAGGCAGAGTGTGATATCTTCCCCTCAGGGAGCAGCTTATGAGTCCCCCCTCTTTTTTAAACAATTACATATTTTTAGTAGACAAAGAAAAACTATATAGTTGAGGGGGGGGAGAATAAAAGTTTTTATAGCTTTCAACTCTGTAAGAATTTTGTAAGCCCTACTTTTCAACAAAGAGTTGGGTGATATAAGTGCTGTTGCTTTTCAAAATAAATTGAAAGAAATAACAGAACACAAAAGTTAGTAAATGGTTAGTAAAAAGTCAGAGATAAAGGAGTGCAACTACTCACTATTGAACGGAAAGCTCTTTGAGGACAAATTTTATCACTTTTTAAAAGTATTTTAAAAGCCTGAATCTTAATAGCTAGTTAGTCCCACCTGGCACACCACTGTTTCCTAAGCCTGGAGAATAGAGAGATGCAAAGGAGAGCTGCCTGCAAAATGACATGACTGATGCCCAAGTGTTTTAAGTGGTTGCCAGGGGCTGGGCTATTACCTCCAGGTTCCCCAATAAAACAGATCATTTCACAAAGCCCAAATATATCCAATTTGATTGAACAGAAGACAACGAAGCTGCTTTTCAAAATGAATTGACTTTATACAAATGCTTTTAAGATCATCTCTTTCACCCTAGCCGGTTTGGCTCAGTGGATAGAGGGATGGCCTGTGGACTGAAGGGTCCCAGGTTTGATTCCCATCAAGGGCACATGCCTGGGTTGCGGGCTCGATCCTCCAGTAGGGGGCGTGCAGGAAGCAGCCTATCAATGATTCTCTCATCGTTGATGTTTCTCTCTCTCTCTCCCCCTCTCTGAAATCAATAAAAATATTTTTTAAAAGACTATTATGTTTAAAAAAAAAAAAATCATCTCTTTCTCAAACAGTAACAGGAAATGAATGCCGTAACAGAGCTCAGGATCTGAGACTAAACAGACATGAGTTAAATCCCAGCTCTTCCAATGTACAGCTGTGGAACCATCTCTGTTAGTACATTCTTTCGACCATGGAGGGTTGATTACTACCTTCCTTAAGATATGAATATGTGCCCTACCTAGTTTGGCTCAGTGGATAGAGCCTCGGCCTGCGGACTGAGGGGTCCCGGGTTTGATTCCGGTCAGGGGCACATGCCCAGGTTGTGGGCTCCAACCCCAGTGCGGGGAGTACAGGAGGCAGCCAATCAATGATTCTCTCTCATCATTGATGTTTCTATTTCTTTCTCCCTCTCCTTTCCTCTCTGAAATCAATAATATATTTTAAAAAAAGATATGAATATCTGGTAGCTTCAGATGTTAGTACTTTTCCTTCTTAAAACTACACCCAGATCCTTTTGATTGGACCTGTATTTTTCTTAATAACCTCAGACACTAATTTTTAGCATGGAGCATTCTAGATGGTTCATCTCATTCATTATGTTTTGAATCTCCTGAATCTCCCTTTTTGAAAACAATTGTATCATGAAGCTCTTGGCTGTTCAACCCATGCTCTGGACTTCACCAATGAAAGCGAAGAGCGTGGGAGAAAACCATAGAGAAAAATCGAATTGTAGGTACGCCATACAAACCTTTCAGTTGTATAAAACTTAAAATCAATGCTTTCTTTGAAATCACAAATTCTGCACACTGGAGACAATATGAAGCTCAACACAGCCTATTAGCAACAAATTAAGAACAAAAATTGTTCTGACTTGAAGGAGGCCCAGGGATGCACCTTGCCTATGCTTATTACCCCCAATTCTCTGAACTCGGGGATCGTTTAGCATGTTGTAGCGGATACTGCAGGGACAGAGGAGGAAAAACAAGTTCCACAGATCCTTTATTTGCATGCAGCCTTCTGAGTACCATTACTGCCCTCCTAGCTCAGGCAGTCAAGACTAAGTCCCAACCGGTTTCTCTGCCCGAGATCTCTCCACTCCCTCACCTCCTGCACACAGCCACCAAACCAATTTCCTAAATCACCAGTTTCATTACATCACTCCCCACCTCAAAAACACTTAATGGCTCCCTACCTCCTAGTCACTGGAAGAAAGCCCAACTAAAATTCAAAGCCCAGGCTAGCATTATCCTAATTTTTATAATACAGGGCCTGTTTCCTCCTAATTCCCCCCCACGGAAATTCTCTAAGGCTGCAACTAGACTAATCCGCTCACGGCCCCCCCCAAGAAACAGACTAGTCTGCACCCCTGGGCTGGATTACAACCACCCCTGCCTATCCTCCGCCCTCCTCTGCCTTTCCCCCAAAAGGTCAGCGCAGACCCCCTCCTCTATCTCTGCCCGGAACTGTGCTCCTAAAAAGCACACACGGCCCACACTGGACATCTTCTCACTCTTCAGACATCCTTTTTAGCTGGCAATTCTCCCGTCGTAATGCAATCCGCTCCCACCAAGACAAAGTTCCTTGGAGGTGGATCCCATGCCAGTACTCACACAGAGGGCCTATCGCAGTGCCCCGCACTTGCTAGGTCCTGGGTAGTAAAACCAGAGGAAGGGTTCGGATGATGCAGGTGCAGGTGATGTGGGGCCAGACAATACTGCCCATCTTTCCCAGTCCCTCTTAATTCACAGTAAAGGGGACTCAGCGTTCGCTTCAGGGCCGACAGTACCTAGTGTACACGGAGCAACGAAGTGCAGCGAGCCCGCCGCCCGAGGGCAAAAACCCTGCGTCCCGATCCCGGTTCTTGCCACAATCTCTGCAACTGTGGGGAAATCACACAATTTTCCTGCGTATCGGTTGGCTCAGAGGCAAAACAAGGGAGCTGCTGGGATGGATCCCAAGGTACCCTTTCCCCAATTCCCCGGGAAACGCAGCACTCGTCTACCCGCTCCAGCGGAGGCACGCAAACTTTCGAGGTTCCCACCGCAGGCATTTCCACGGAGCAGTGAAAACTCAGTCCCACAGGGGAACGCGGGGCGGAGCGGAAAGCGGTCCCCCTGGATCCCAAGGCCAGGGATAGTCCGCTCGGTCCCCGGCCCCTCGCAGGCGGACTCCCTCCCCAAGAGAGTGGCCGGCGCGGGTCCCAGGAGCGGG